GCGCTGTTAAGTAAAATATTTTATAATTGAAAATATTTACATTTTACTTTTACATTCAGATTAAATCAATGTATAACTTTAATAATTAACATAATTTTATTCAAATTTTTAATTATGCAATTAATCCTTAATTAAATTTTTCTTTTTAGGTCATTCTAATAAACCTTTTTCTTAGAATTGTTTATATAGTATTTTTTTAAATAATTTTCTTTTTAAAAAATTTCTCAGATTTCTTTATATAAATTGAAGTGTTCTTCAAAATATTGAGATAGTTCATATTTTTTACAAATAAATTCTTTATATATGTATATAAATTTTGAAATATATTTTAAGAATTTTAAGACGCCACATTTTCTATAATTTTTGAAAAAATTAAATTTTAATTTTTCAAATTTTTAAGATCTCATCAGAAATTTTATAGCTATAAAAATAATAGAAACCTTAAAATATTTCAGAATTTATATATATGATAAATTCTAAGAAAATATGCTCAATTTTTTTCTTAATGTTAGAAAAATTCTTAATGTTTTTAAAAAGTGTTACAATTTTTATAGAACTGAATGCTGATAATGCTGCAACAAGTTTTCATTCCGTAACCAATTTAAGCGTCCTATATAATTAATTATTTGAATGGTTTAACTAAATCATTTTCAGATCTGTATCTAGCTAAATTTTTAGATACTTCAGCAAAACTATCTTTTTCGTGAATGTCTCATAATCTAGTTAACCGTTTGGTAATATTTCCTATGAATTCGCAAAGGGCTCGTATTTCATTCCTGCGATAAAATTGCAGAATTAGAAATCGTGTAATTTATTTATTTGTTTTAAACACTGAAAGTTTACATCGAGATACCAATTGTCATTTATTTTTGGTAAACTTATACAAAAAAAACTGGAAAAATAAGAATGGGAAGCAAAATAGAATCGTTTGGCAAGAAAAAAATATGATATTTAATATAGATATATATTTTGTTATAAAGAATATTTTTACTCTTTTTATTTAAAAAAAAATCTCAACTGGTTTAAGAAAAATATATATATTCTGAATTAAAATATATAAGCTGTAAAAAAGTTCTTAGCGTTAAGAACTTCAAAATTCAAATAACTTTGTTAAAAATGAACAAAATTTAAATTTAAAAAAGTTTTAAAGTTTAAAATTTCTATTTTCGAAAAGTCGCTATGTTTTTTGAGTTTCTGTCGGCTTAATATTTTTACATACAGAAAATTATTGAATGAAATGAGAAACATTCTTCTCACTTTTGTTTTTTTTTTTAGGTTTGTCACGTGACCCAAAAAAACTTGTAACAATTTTCAACTTTTTAACGTAAAAACTTGAAGTGTTCTTTATTCTATCGAATGATATAATTGCTAAATTTTTTTAAAAACATCTGAACTTAACTGAACAGAATATAAGTGAAGTATAACACTACGATCCTTTGCTTCAATCCAATAGATTATGCATAAGATTATGTGCGATATAAAATAACACAATTGCATTGAAATTGTAGCAATTTCTACTTTATCGCAAATCGCCGAAGCAACGGTTTTCTATAATAAGAACGCCATTCCTGTGATTTGCCTGATTGTTCCAGCCATTCGCATCGAAACATTCGCCGCATTCGCTATATGTAATCGCCACTATGAAAAGTCACGATATGGTTAACGTTCTCCTAATATCTCGTCTTATAATTAATTTGAAATGTGAAACCGTGAGTAAACGGAAAATAGAAACTTCCTGAAAAGAAGTTATTTATTTAGTTCCATAGGGAAGCGAGATCGATTGATCGATTGAATATAATTATTTCTATCCGCAATTGTTATAATATATTATTAAGGTCGTAAATTATGATTAAATCTTTTAAATTTTATTTTTGCTATGTGTTAATCTAATGTATGTCTGAAAATATTTCCTACATAGTGAAAACATTTTATATTTTTGTCAAAATCGGTCTATTTAAGGCCTTGGTAAAATTTTGTGTTGAATTTTTAATATGTACAAATGTTAATTTAACACAATTTGATTATTTAACATTTTTTAAATAATAATTTATCAAATATGTGATTGAACAACGTAAGAATAACGTAAAATAATTTTTTCTAATATAAACTTTGTATTAAATTAAGAAACTTGTATTAAATTAAAAAATTAAGTGCATCGTAGGTATATGTACTGTCTCCATATCTGACGTCACACCTGTGATTATACGCACACAGTATCTCATATTGAGTTAAATTTGAGAATGTACGCGTGCGAAAGAAAACGAAGTGATACTGTGCGAAATATTGGGTGCGTTCCGAGTTATGTATGAAGCGCATGATGCTTCATTTATCCTTATTGTTTATCAATTAATAAAGAAAGATACAGTGTATGATACATGACGATACAACATGCGCTTCATGCATAACTCGGAACGCATCCATTATTGCGTTAATCTCAGCTTGTTAAAAATGATACATACCATTTTCGTACTTAGCATCAAACCTGAGTTTATACATATGCGAAAGGAAACGGAATGATACTGTACGAAATATTATTGCGTTAATCTCAGTTTGTTAGAGTCATTCGAGATGATCACAGTATAATCAGTAGAAAAATAGGATGATACACAGGATGTCATGTATTGTTAGGGTATAAACAATAATTTCACATTTTCAAACGTTTCGACTGATTTCCAGTCATTTTCAACGAATTAAATAACATACGTGAATGTAACGCTAGATTTTAAATACCTTTCATCATGATAATTCCTCAACGATTGCATTTAAGTAAAACGATTCTTCTTAAATCCTGTTGGAAGAGTGCCACCGTTAAAGGGATCCTAAAGTAAAGCCCGAAATTTGAAGTCACCAGAGGTTGTGAACATAGAGCGAATTTTTTAATTCATCAATTGATTAATTGCATCGTGCGCAAATGTAATTTTGTTCTGTAAAAACTACATTTGTACGTAATGCGATTAATCAATCGATGAATTAAAAATCTCGCCCATAATATAATAACAAGACTTTTAAACAATAATTAATATAATAACTTAATTAATATAATTTAATATAATAATAAGACTTAAATTAATAATCGATCATAAATTAACAATAATTAATTTGAAAAAAATCTAAAAGTGGTTAAACATTGAATGAAAAAATTGAGTTGAATGAAAAACATGAGAACTTATCAAATGCAATTTAAGAGAAAATTGTAGAATTGTAATGAATAATGTTGTCAAATTATTGCCATTATAAATCAAATAGTAATGGGATACATCAAATATTATTCAAGTTTTGTATACATTATCAAAAAGTATGGTAAACAAATATAAGATTTGTAAACAATATTCAATTCATTCCTATCAAGGTATGTGCATGTGTAAAATTTTAATTTTAATTTTTTCAAAACATTAACATATGCATGATGCAACAAAAGAAAACAAACAGTGAAATCGTAAGAACTTGGACAATAGACATACGCGCAGCGAGAAACGTGAGGATAACTTTTTACTGTTCGTAGTTCGGTGAGCTTTCAATTATTTTTGTTCGAAAGCGAGATCTTGCCCTCACGCGAAATTGTATCTTTCAATTTGCATTTACATATGTGCGTATAAGATATGTAAGATATATTATATTTGTTTTGTAAATTTTGCAATTTATGTTTAATTATTCAGAATGAAAATACAGAACAATTTATTCTATTCAAGAAAAATTGTTTAGTATACATAATTTATAATACAAACACCGTCATGCTTTGCAAATAAATACATATATTGATATTTTATATCAATATTAATTATATTCGAAATTTTGTTATTAGTATATATTGATATATTATTATATATATGAATGAGAGATAATAAAGATTCCACTTTTTAAAATCTTGCATAGGACACCAAAAATTCTGAAACCGGTTCTACTCGAAAACGTCGGTTTATGAAACCAATCAAACTTTAAAGTGATATACAATAAAATATATTAAAAGACCGTATATGTGATAACACAATTATAGAAATCAAAGCCTTAAACGGACTAGCTGGATCTTAATGCTTGTATGATTCTTATGTGAATTTCTATACTACGTATGTAGTCCCTAGAAACGCACGTCGAAATGGTTTTTCTTGAAACGCTAACTCTACTAAACTACCGCAGTAATATCACGAGTTAAATTGATTGTTAAATTGCTAGTCAATTTAACTCATGATATTACTGCGGTAGTTTAGTACAGTATATAAATTTACATAGAAACATACAAACATTAAGGTCTAGCTAGATCATTAAGGTTTTTAAAATGATATTTTGTATAACATCAATTAAATGGTTAGGCTGCCATTGCATCAGATCATCAATTGGCTATCTGAAAAAGAAAGTTAGTCTGAGCTAATAAGAGTCAGCGTGAGCGGAGGTGCGAAATAAAATTTTAACAAATAAATTTGTTACTCCATTTGATGTGTTGTCCATAAAATCCATAAAATGTATGTGCTAAACTTTCATCTAAAAATCTTCCCGTCAAATGTAAAAAATATCGAGTTAAGAAATTGAATAACTTCAAAATATTCTTTTTTGGGTATATCGCAATTTGGGAATATTGAATTTTAACAGTCCACTATCATACATAGATTTAAAATACGATTGATTTTTTTTCCATTACTCATCGCATCATACTTGGAAAAACTACGTCAATCAATAATTAAATATTTTATTAGAGGATGATACATAATATTCGATAAAATTTTTTCTGCGAGTTACATACAATCATCCACATTTCGCCTTATATGTAGAGAAGATATATAAAATATTATCTATTATGAACACGTATCTGAATACCGCGGATGCATGTTTATCGGAACAGAAATTAAATTTGTCTGCATTATGACAAAAAGCCGATATTAATGAGCTGATAATATTGAAATTTCTTTATTTGTTTCAGCGTGCATTGCGGTAACATTGAAGAATATTTTTGGGCAGTTTTGATAGATAAATTTTATGCAATTTGCATAAATTTATTCCAAAATTTATTCCAAGTTACAAATTAAGTTTTTATTTATGAATCCCTTTATTTATAAATATCGCTCGTCTATTGGACTATAATCGTCTACCCATGATTTTATATGTTTTGGAATTAATATTAGGATAATATTCTTTTCCGTCCTTGTCCACTATATCAGCGAAGTTTTTTGAGAATAATTCTTCGTATTCCATACCCGCTATTAATTTCTCCGAAATTATCGATGTGAACGTAATGACTGTTGCTGGCACTCCATACGTAGATCCGATAAAATCTCTAGATTGAGATTTTTTTGTAAATTATAAAACATTGATAAATCTGATTAATATGATGGAATATATTAAATTAATGGAAATCAAATATAAAATTATTACAAATGGTTTAAATATAAGATCTTGGATGATTTATTAGAAATGCTATTTTATTCTAATAGAGATTTATGCAATTTTAAAAAATTTTTTTGTACCATGTGAACTGTGGCATGTGTGTAAAATTGCGAAGAATCAATAACTTAATCTTTTCTTCATATGCGAACTAATATCCTGGTAAATTATACCTGACTTTTAGTAATTCCTTGCCTAATCCGTATCTTCGATAATCAGGGTTGACGCTAACTCCAAAACCAGTTATATACTTGTCAACTTCATAATGTTCGTATATCATATTCGTTAGAGATAGAAGTTTATACGTAATTTTGAATTTCTCTGATTTAAACTGAAACAATTTTATTATATATTATCAATCATATAATTAATACTTAATTTAATTAATGTATAGATAAGAAGAAAGCTCTTTTAAACAATGTTACGACAAAAGGCGAAAAGAAATAAAAACAAAAATACGAATAAGAAATTAAAACATTTAACGATCATTATATGATGAATAAATATTTATATGCTGATAAATCATATTTCATATAACAGTATTATTATGATAAAACTTAGAATTATAATATCAATACAATTATATTTAATTATATTATACAGGATATTTTTGATAATTGCGATAATTTTTAAAGGGGACATCTCGTTATATTCAACAACTTTTGTTAAGTAATCTATGTTCGATAATGTTCGAAATGTATTTTTAAAATGTTAGATGTCAGTTTTTAATCTTGAACACTGTTTGATTTCTAAAGTAATTAGAATAGAATTTAAAAAATTATATATTTTTTGATTTCATTTTGTTTATTTTATTACTACAAATATTTAAAATGATAACTTGCTTATTATACAAGCATTACATTATATCTATGGCGCATTTATTAACGCACTCAGGAAAATCCTATTACAACTATTGCGAATCACATGACATATCCCATTGATGAGCTCATTTTGAATGTCAACAAGAGTACACATCTGCACATACATTAAACTATTGACATACTCCCGTAGGAAAAAATCAAGGCACGTATTGACAATATTCGACAGAGTCTAGAAGATACAGATTACTTAACAAAAATTATTCAATTGACGATTTAATCCAGTATCCTTATATTTATCATAAATGTTTGGAAACACTCTGTATGCATTTATAAGTTCTTGTAATAGAACTCGCACAATAGAATGTGTGAATTCGAATACAGTAATCAAATTTACTAACAAAGTTTAATGTAGCTAACCTCATAATCGGACAATTTCTTTTTTTGGTTTTTAACCTCAATGCCCAAAACAGTCATACCGGCGATTATGGATTTACCACCATTGGGATTGTCGACGAATGCAGCTACAGATATGTCTTCTGCGAGTAACAGACGCCATAGCATAGTTATATCTTGTATAAATAGAGGGTCATTTTTTGCATCTATTCGTCTATTCTTATATTTTCATACAATTGCATAAATACCTACAAAATTAATCAAAATATCTTGTAATTAATAATTATTCATCTCTCATTGAAATCGAGAGAGAGAGAGAGAGAGAGAGAGAGAGAGAGAGAGAGAGAGAGAGAGAGAGAGAGAGAGAGAGAGCGATTTTGACTTATTCTAATTATACACTGTTAGAAATGTTCTTAAATTTCATTAAATTTTAAGTTACACAGTTTGGACTTAATTTCATGACATTATATTAAATTTAATGTATTTATACATTAAACTAAAAGTATATTTGTGTACATATACATAAAATTTATGTATTTTTTATGAAAATTTATGAAATTTAATGTACTTTTCATAAAATTTTATTAAAAGTACATTAAAATTTCATAAATTTAATGTACATGTTCATTACATTTAAGTAATTGCTGTAACTTAATTTTCAGTTAAATCATTCATTGCTTTTAATTTCGTTCATAACTATGAGCTTCATTTACATGTAAAGGAAGCTCGTGGTTACATATCTGATAGTATAGCTTCTTTTAGCTTACAATTAAATTTACAAATTGTAAATGAAAACATTATGTTTTCGATTGATAATTGATAAAACTTACTCAAACATTGACAAGTTGGTTCATCGACTAAAAAGTATGTGCACATGTGATGAATCGCGTCCTCGTACCGATCCTCGGGAATCTCCTGAATCGTGAATTTCATTAGCTTCCCGTCCTTATTCTTCTTTTCTATCATTTGCAAGACCTTAGGTGACTGACCCAACGATTTAACACGCATCATTTTATCTGTTTCCTTCTATAAATGTAACAAATTGTTGCAAGTCAGTACGTAATTTTTTTAAACGACGCAATTTGAAAAATTACATGAATTATTAAAAATAATTTCATCATGTGATTTTATAGTTACCGAATTTTAAAGAATTGAAGATAGAAATAGAAGAAAAAAGAATATATTATCTTGTGACTTTTCAAATTACGTACTTTTAAAAAATCACGTACTAATTTGGAACAATCCATTATGTGACATACATAATTTCATCATGCAACTGTGTGATGTGATTTTATTCAGTAGGGTGTGCTTCACGAATAACAGATGCAGTACTGTCATAATAATATATGTTAACGTATATATATATATGTTTTTTTGCTATCTATTTTGTTTGCATATATGATTTGCATGTTTGCATTATTTGAATTATTTGCAAGTTTTTTGTACATTCGTTTTATCTAAATTAAATTTTTATCTAAATTAAATTCGCTTATCTAAATTTAAAATTGTATAGATTTTCAAAAGATAATCTTCATGTGATAGCTACAATGTTATAAAATTGTCTTTATTTGAAAAGAAGAGAAAAATGAAATAAATTTAATAAATGAAATAGACTAATTTAAATGTAAATAAATAATAAAACTAAACCATAGCAATGTAAATAATAAATATAAATAATAAGTTAACTCGCATCAATCATATGACAAATACTTGATACATACAGTGCTAGAGCACTTATCTAGTCATTATCACAGTGCACGTGCAATCCTCCTTCCACTTTTCTTGTGTAAATTAACATTATTTATATGTTGGGCATATGTATACGTAACATATGTATAGGTAATACTACTCATTTTATAATAATATCATAAGTTTACTTAACCACGCTAATAAAATACATACAATTCCAATAATCAAATTCAATAACTGAAGCAAACTATTTTCGAAATAATTCGTATGTATTATATTTATTCATTGCAATTATTCTACTTTCAAACAACGACGTTGAAAATTTAAAGAACATTTTAAAGAAAATGCACTTTTTCTATATTTTAACATCTAAACAGTCAAACTTATATTGATGTGATCAAAAGATTTGTAAGATTTTTTTCCAGGTTACAGTATTAAGTGCATCATGTAATTTTTGTATATGTCATTTGGATTCTATCGGATCATATTAAGAAAATTTTTTACTCATAATTTAAATGTCTTGTATTTAATTACTAGGAAAATATTCGTTTTCGTTCATTAAGTTTTTCATTAAAAATTCTTCGAATCTAGCATCTCTTTTTGCTGTTGGTTTCTGATGTGGCGAGCAGTACTTAGGACTCCGTACATAAATCCGGATGATAAGATTCTTAGATTTAATTAAGTTGAGATATTGATAAGAACATAAAACTGATAACGTTATAAAATACATAATATAAAATACATAATAGAAATCGAGTATGAAAAACTAGAAATAATTTACGTACACCAATAATGAAATAATGATTATTCGGTTGATATAACAAAATTTAATATAAAAATATATAACTTTTATATTACTTTGGCAATATAAATTAAAACAATCAAAACAAAACAATTAAAACAAAGACATTAAGCAAAAAGTGACAGAAATACTGATATCATTCGAAAACTATTTAAAAAAAAAAATAAAAACTACTTCCTTGAAAAAAAATTTTTTTTAAACTTCAGTCTGATATGAAGTTGCAAAATGTCAATAATTTATTGCACTTTTCATGTTCAAAAAGTAATGTTTCAACATAAGTTACATAATCAATAAATATTTTCAGTATATTTTAGAGATGTGTGTGCGATCTCCGGATCAATCTGCCAAATATCGATTTTTTACAAAAAAAGAAGTATATCGCTATGAAATAGCTTTCTTTATTAAAGTTCTCACAAATACTAAATTACATTTAAAGAGAATGTTGATGAGGTCAATCAAAACAAACGAAGTGATAAAGACGATAAATAAATATTGTCAATAAAATGTAAATGCTTGAATATAACGAATGTAACGTTTGCTATGAAAAAAATTACAATTAAAATGCGAATATTTTAATTATAGAGAAATTCATATCAATAACTTAAATTAGATAATGATTTGATGTAAATTGATTTATATTAGATAAGAATACTGATGATGACCAGATAAAATTATGTAGAATTGAAACGTCCATTTATAAATTATAATTGTTTTCATTTCGTAAATACATCCAGCATAAAGGTTTATATTCTCATTGGTAATTGCAGTTGACAAAAATGATAACATTGATGCTTGAATATAAACTTTAATTAAGTCAGATAAAATAATACAATAATAAAAAATACAATTATATTAAATAAATTGTCTATATGATTAAATTATGCCGATTAACGCTCGTTAATTAATTAAAATTGTAGATAGATTGAATTTTTGATCTAATGAAAAATTTGGTGATATTTTTAAAATACATTATTTAACAGAAGTTTTAACGTTGTTACAAATAGGAAGATATATATCCGATAGCCCCGCTCTGTATCGTTTTACTTATTTATTCTAATTTTTTTTTTTTTTCAAATGAATATCATTTCTGAGATGATTATTCTTTTATAAAAAGGTATAGAACAAACGAAAAGAAAACTCAAAAGTAGAATAACGAACATAGAGTAGATTTTAAAAAACTCTCTGATTCACTTTCTGTATTTTCGCTATATAAATTAAATTATTAACACAAATTGGATTGGAATGACTAGTTTAGAATTAAAATCATATTTTTATATATAAATCGCCTCTAAAATTAATATTTTATTATAACGTAATTCCTTTTCTAAAATAATATTCCAGTCACATTCATGCGAGTAATTAAGTCTAGGAACAGTAATTACTGAGAACTGATTGATATTTCTATTGATACGATTTTTATGTTCGGAAATTCCAGATTTCATTAAAAATTTTTCAAGCGAAACAGATAAAAGTTGTATTTATTCAGAATGGTCCGTGAAAGAATAAAACTTATCAACTATTGTGCATTCCGACACCGAGCTAGAGATATCGCTGGAATTCGGGATGTAAAAAAAAATAAACTCATGCTTTCATTGTTTATAGGAAAGAGAATAAATCTTTATTCTATTTGTAATTCATTATATAATTTCATCTTATTACTTTCATGGTGACATTATACTACTTCCGGATCACTGACGGTCAAAATAATGCGTAAACGTAAATTCTGACTGACTAACTCCTCGCTTGCTTTCATACTTTCGGTTATATCCTTTGTTTTTCCCGATTATTCTTACTGAATTGGCAACTTGTCGCATTCTGTTAATCAATCGAAATTGCAACGATTGGGTTCTCTGTACTAATCGCCCAACCGGGTTATGTCCGATATCAATTTAATTTCTGATTGTTTTTCTGCTTTAGTGAAATGAAAAAATTACTTTTAGATATTATATATATTAATTAAAAAATACATTAATGAAAGTACTTCCCATCACTTGTAAAACGCTACGAATTAATTCCAATACCTAATATATATAAATATATGTATTATATATATATTATATATTATATATTATATTATATATAGTTAACATGAGCGTTGTTTGCGTAAAAAGAAAATCCTAGTTAGAATTGATATATTTTCACAACACATTGTTATACAGTATACATGTAATGTAGACATCATACATGTACACACACAAGCACACACACACACACACACACACACACACACACACACACACACACACACACAATGTATACAAAAAATATTAATAACCATAGATACATGTACTATATGTATGATAATAATCTACGTATTTGTAAAGTCGGTATTGAAGTCATAATCATCGAAAGTAAATTTAAATTCTTCAAGCTGTCCCGCTAGCTTGATAGTAGCTTTTTCTGGAAATTGAGAAGTGACATATTAAAAAAAATTAAGTATTATATTTAATCTTTTTTCCTATTTTTTTATCATACCTCTTCTCAATCGTTCTTTTTTTCCTTCTTGAATTGAAGTTTCTTGAGTTTATTTAGTTTTTGATTCAATTTCGAAAAGAGGATCTGGTTTCTTCTTTCTTTCAGTAGACTTATCCTTCTTCGTATCTTGCAATTTCTTTTTGAATTTCTTCTGCACTTTGTATTCCTGCAATAATATATCGGCCAATAATACAAAATAATTTTTACAGTGCATACAAATTTCGAAAATATCCAATGTATCATCCATATTTGATAAATATGTTTCTAATACTTATATCTTACCGCTTCTTTTTGTATTTCTATCTTCATTGCCGTCGTGACAGGATCTCTACTATTGATCAAGACAGGATCATTTGTGGTAGGATTATTTGTAGAATGTGTCGTGAAATTATCAATCTTTCTTTCTTCCGCAACAAAAATTCAATATCAAATTTTTCAATATCAAATTTTTTAGCTACTTGATTGACTATCTCAGCAGATATGTGACATATTGGCTGTTCAGGTGGAACGGTATAATATCTAACAAAAATATTTTAAATATTAGAAATTATCACTGTGTAAAGATTTGGAATATATAATACAACAAACCTGATTTTTCCAGAATTCCAATCTTCGGTAATGCCGTCACAATAGCAGTCGCATCAGGTATTCCACCTTTCTTAAATTTTCCCATTTGTACTGCTTTCATGGCAAAAAATTCGTCTGGCGTTGAAAAATTTTTCATACTGTACAACTGCATTATCTGTTGTCGCGAGACTCTTTTCAAAATCGCTGGCTTAAAAGGATCTGTCAATGCCTGAATTCTTACTGCATTTTTTAGAGCTACAGATGTATCATCGGAATTTTCATCCGAACTAGCGAATACTATACCAGGAGAAACTAACAATTTTATTTTAGAATCTAATTGAACAATTTGCATCGTTTTCGTTATTCCTGAAATTAAAAAAAAAATCATAAATTGGATTAATATGTATACAAATATTAATTAATTGGCTTGATTGTATAAATGTTTCATTAATTATAAATTACTATAAAACAATTTTTTTATTAAAAAAAAATTAATAAACTCGAAAATGTAATCGCTAAAACAAACGACATGATTTAAGTATAGTAAAGAGCATAATTGATATATGAATTGGCTATAAGTATTTAATTAATTACCTGGTATATTTCCTACGTTGCACGCTTTATTGCGTTTCAAAGAATTAATAACGCTAGATTTTCCTACATTTGGCAAACCAACAACACCCACTCTAATGCTTGTTTTTACATTATTACTATTTCTACAATAATTTCCGAGTAGCGACAGGAGCAATTCCGCTCCAAAGCAAGTGTTGCTCTGTATCATGGATTCCGTTTTCTTTCCTAATTTTCTTCTACCTAATCGATTCGCTTGGTTTTGTGTAGACGACTTAAATGCCACGGCAGGTAAACTAGCCCTCAAATACTTTAACCATTGATCTAAATTATCTCTGGGAATCAAATCAGCCTTGTTCAAAACCAGTCTCTTATTTCCTGCAGCTCGGACTACTTTTTCTATCTGTATTCAGATATTAGTAACAACAAAGTAATGACGGAGCTCATATTGTAATTAACAACAAATAGACAAAAAAGGTCAAAACAATGATCTGAACAAATCAAAAATCTTGCTTTAATTAATCTATATCTTATTTCATATTTAATATACCAGACGTTTCAAGCTTACTAACTCATCTTCAGCCGCAATAATAATATTAATACATATGAATCACTTTCATCCCATACATTCTTTGAAAATATGATAGTGTAACATTACTAATTCTATTTTTTCGTTACAAACTGTGTGTGATTAAAATAATACTGCAAATAATAAATAAACTGTGTCGTTAATTTTTATATGAATTTTAAGTTTACTGACATATTTTTAAAGAATTGTGTAATGAAGTGAAAGTAATTCATATGTATTAATATTATGGTTGAAGAGAATTTAGTTGAAATGTTCTACACATTAAATATGAAATAAAATATAGATTATTAAGATAAAACTTTTTTGCTCATCGTTTTAGCTTATTTTCCCCTTATTTGATGTCAGATATATCAATAAATTAATATACATTTATATTTGGGACAAAAACTTCACAAAACTTGCCTCTTTGCATCGTGTTCCCAATGGATCACGGGCATCAACTTCAAGAATAACGTCGGCTGCATCCAGAACCTTTTTGAACTCTTTATAATAAGTTATAGTATAATAAGCTTTAAGTGAATTTTTTTCTTTAGCATCGCCTCTTTTTATTTGATCTTGAATAGAATCTATTTCCATTGATTTATATGCCAACTGCTTATTCTCAGCCTGTTTAACTAATCCCTGGAGACCATCCTTGGTAAGTTAGATCATCTTTGGCTCGCGTTTTCTCCCATGCGCTGCTTCCTTCTGCTTCTATTTTTCCTCTTCACGTTACTTCTTTATTGCCTCTACTTCTTTTAATATATCCTCTTTGAATGAACACTGGATTCGATATTTCCACTACCTTGGATTTTCCTGAATAAAATTGAACTTATCAAACTGACTATTTTAAATACAAAGGTATATCTCGATATTTGATAAATTAGAGCACTGACTTTTAGAATCCTTCTTAGCCTCTTTCCTCATTTTTCGATTGTGTTTACGAACCTTTTTCTCGATCTTATACCTCTTCCGTGCCGGCATGCGCTTACTTTGCTTATCTATATCACAATAAAATGAGAAAATTATGTTTAGAAGAACTATATTAATGTAATAAGATAATAACAAATATATGATAATGCCTTTGTTATTAATTACTATTAACTATAAAGATATGAATAGATTGAACCATTCTAATGCACATAACCTAATACATGTAACTTATTTTAATCTTCCTCATAAAGTAAGCTTCGAATAACGTAAAGCTTCGAATTCTTTTATGATATATTCAATATACTTACTGTGAAACTTCATATTTGCTAATAATATAATTTTACTATAAAACTATCGCAATATTTTTAGAACAATAACGTTCGAACGTTTCAAAGAATTAATAACGCTAGATTTTCCTACATTTGGCAAACCAACAACACCCACTCTAATGCTTGTTTTTACATTATTACTATTTCTACAATAATTTCTGAGTAACGACAGGAGCAATTCCGCTCCAAAGCAAGTGTTGCTCTGTATCATGGATTCCGTTTTCTTTCCTAATTTTCTTCTACCTAATCGATTCGCTTGGTTTTGTGTAGACGACTTAAATGCCACGGCAGGTAAACTAGCCCTCAAATACTTTAACCATTGATCTAAATTATCTCTGGGAATCAAATCAGCCTTGTTCAAAACCAGTCTCTTATTTCCTGCAGCTCGGACTACTTTTTCTATCTGTATTCAGATATTAGTAACAACAAAGTAATGACGGAGCTCATATTGTAATTAACAACAAATAGACAAAAAAGGTCAAAACAATGATCTGAACAAATCAAAAATCTTGCTTTAATTAATCTATATCTTATTTCATATTTAATATACCAGACGTTTCAAGCTTACTAACTCATCTTCAGCCGCAATAATAATATTAATACATATGAATCACTTTCATCCCATACATTCTTCGAAAATATGATAGTGTAACATTACTAATTCTATTTTTTCGTTACAAACTGTGTGTGATTAAAATAATACTGCAAATAATAAATAAACTGTGTCGTTAATTTTTATATGAATTTTAAGTTTACTGACATATTTTTAAAGAATTGTGTAATGAAATGAAAGTAATTCATATGTATTAATATTATGGTTGAAGAGAATTTAGTTGAAATGTTCTACACATTAAATATGAAATAAAATATAGATTATTAAGATAAAACTTTTTTGCTCATCGTTTTAGCTTATTTTCCCCTTATTTGATGTCAGATATATCAATAAATTAATATACATTTATATTTGGGACAAAAACTTCACAAAACTTGCCTCTTTGCATCGTGTTCCCAATGGATCACGGGCATCAACTTCAAGAATAACGTCGGCTGCATCCAGAACCTTTTTGAACTCTTTATAATAAGTTATAGTATAATAAGCTTTAAGTGAATTTTTTTCTTTAGCATCGCCTCTTTTTATTTGATCTTGAATAGAATCTATTTCCATTGATTTATATGCCAACTGCTTATTCTCAGCCTGTTTAACTAATCCCTGGAGACCATCCTTGGTAAGTTAGATCATCTTTGGCTCGCGTTTTCTCCCATGCGCTGCTTCCTTCTGCTTCTATTTTTCCTCTTCACGTTACTTCTTTATTGCCTCTACTTCTTTTAATATATCCTCTTTGAATGAACACTGGATTCGATATTTCCACTACCTTGGATTTTCCTGAATAAAATTGAACTTATCAAACTGACTATTTTAAATACAAAGGTATATCTCGATATTTGATAAATTAGAGCACTGACTTTTAGAATCCTTCTTAGCCTCTTTCCTCATTTTTCGATTGTGTTTACGAACCTTTTTCTCGATCTTATACCTCTTCCGTGCCGGCATGCGCTTACTTTGCTTATCTATATCACAATAAAATGAGAAAATTATGTTTAGAAGAACTATATTAATGTAATAAGATAATAACAAATATATGATAATGTCTTTGTTATTAATTACTACTAATTATAAAAATATGAATAGATTGAACCATTCTAATGCACATAACCTAATACATGTAACTTATTTTAATCTTCCTCATAAAGTAAGCTTCGAATAACGTAAAGCTTCGAATTCTTTTATGATATATTCAATATACTTACTGTGAAACTTCATATTTGCTAATAATATAATTTTACTATAAAACTATCGCAATATTTTTAGAACAATAACGTTCGAAATGATCACGTGCAGACGATCGGAGCTCGGAATTGACAGAGTTGAATTTTGGAATGCACTTTTGACTGCAAAAAGTGTAAGCAACGTAAACAGACCTCGTATTTCATCGCAATAAATTACTAGAATAAGTTACTACTTCATTGATTTTGAATGTAATTTAAACAAAAGTTAGCAAAAATATGAAATTGTAACGAAATTTCATGCTGCGAAGATTTTAAAAAATTTCTAATCTTTTTTTAATTCTATAATTTAAGAAAATTCGTCTTCTAAAAATAAAATAAGTATCAATCGACCAGCGATTATCTTTCAGTGATTTCAATTAAAGCCTATTCTACAATGTGCTCTTTGTTTCCTGTTTTTGTTTTTTTATCTTTTGTTTTTTTTCTCCTTTGTAATCATTTTATTAATAATTGTATTTCTTGCTACATATTTCTTAGTTCTTTCGAAATTCGTTAACTTTTATCTCAGGCGATATAAAACAAAAAACTGGATAAAAAGCAAAAAAACAAGATGTAAATAACAGTAAAAAGCAAGAAATAGGCAACAAAAAGCACATTGTAAAACAGACTTAAACCTTTTGGGTAACGTACACATAGTAATATATATATATAGTAAAATTAATGGCGAAAAAAAATTGTTAATGAGTGGACATTAAAATCGCTTTTCTTAGAATTGTTTATATAATATTTTTTAAAATAATTTTCTTTTTGAAAAATTTCTCAGATTTCTTTATATAAATTGAAGTGTTCTTCAAAGTACTGAGAAAGTTCATATTTTTTACAAATAAATTCTTATATATGTATAAGAATTCTGAAATATATTTTAAGAATTTTAAGACGCCACATTTTCTATAATTTTTAAAAAAATTAAATTTTAATTTTTCAGATTTTTAATCTTTCACCAGAAATTTTATAACTGTAAAAATAATAGAAACCTTAAAATATTTCAGAATTTACATATATGATAAATTCTAAGAAAATATATTCAATTTTGTTCTTATTGTTAGAAAAAAAAACATTCTTAATGTTTTTAAAAAGTGTTACAATTTTTATAAAAATTCTGAGAGAAAAATTTTCACTAAATCGAATAAATAGCAAAAACAATAGAATTTGTTATCTCCGTCCATGTTAATAAATATCACAGAATTTACCTTGATAAATTAATTGCCTATTAAGGTAATCGGTGTTGAAGTCTCTCTCGAAATAATTCAGTTCATCCAGCGGAAAGATTGATTACAAAAAGTTTCTAGCTATATTTTATTCTTTCTAATCTATTCTTTTCGATCTTTTTAATTATTACTAATAATTAACAATTCTTAACCAAATTAACGAAGTATTATATATTATTAAATTAAATATGAATATTATTTAATAAATTCATCGTCAATTAAGTTAATCGTAGCTTGAGGACGGACGGTGAAAGGCACATGTATATACGAGGATGCGCATTCTCACACTTTCATCTCATTTTACAAGTGGCACTCGTCCGACACAGTATATAGAGACAAGGCCGTTCTGCCGGGGCGAAATAGAAATTTCCGTAAATTAATTTTACGCTCGTCCCGCGAAACGTCCCTCGAAATCGCGAGAGAGTGATACAGTTTCTCCTATCCTGATTCCCACGCCGTGTCGTACATGTTTCATAAAGCGAACGAGCGATGGGCAGTGGAATTTTGTTGATCTGTCCCATACAGCACAGAATTTGCAGCGATATCGCTGCAATAACGCTGCAATATTGCAGCATTGTTGCTGCAATTTTTGCTACAGGAGGTGCTTCTTCATAAAAAATAATTTTGATTTTGATTTGAATCCGATTTGGAAAGCGCTAATTCAAATTTGTTGCATGGAACGGAAATACAAAATCTATAAATTAAATCGGTATTTATAGTTTTATATTCAAAACCGTCTTAAATACATTCTTAAGAAGTCACAAACCAATCAGAGAGCTGCATTAGCGCCTTAAGACATTACTTAAGACCGTCTTGAAATAAGAATCGATTATGAATATCCAGAGAGTCGTATTAATGTTAAGATATTACTTATAACAGTCTTGAAATAAGAGCGGACTATGAATAAGAAGTTTGTTCATTGTCGCATGCTCTAAGATGCTCCAAGATGCTAAGAGTTATAGCAGAAGCACATTGAAACATTCTGGAGCATACGACGCGAATAAACCTAAGGACTTAAAGACCATGATGCGAAATTCACGAAAAGCAAAACGTACACGACGTGCAGTACACGAATTCGTAATCGATTGGTTAAAATCTGATTTTGCCGAATAAACTTTCGCTTCTTCCCCATAATATATGACGCATATGAATCGCATTGTATAATCCTTTAATAAGAAAAACTACATTTTCTCTTCAGAATTTTGAATTGAGCAGTATTCACTATGCACTTAAAAATTTTGTTTAGATTGAAAGGCACAGAAATATGCTTCATGCAATTCCCACAAATAAATAAAATTGCATTGAGATTGAAAAGAATTTATTTCAACGTTCGCTAATGCGCACTTCTGGAAATCTGAATCCATTTTGATCTATTTTAATCCATTCTCGTTTATTGGGTTGAAAGTATTTGAAAACGGCGCGCTTTCCATCGTGGTCGATCGATCGATTGATAGCAAAGGATCGATTATGTATCTTGAAATGAAGTGAAAATTACAAAAATAATTCACTAGATGTTAATCAATGAAATTATAAATATTCCAATAAATTCACTCAATGTTGTAATTTTCGTCTTATTTCAAGAATTTCAAGATACACAATCGATCGGAAATCTCGGAATCTCTTCAGATCCAGCCGGGGGGGGGGGGAGAAGCGGCAAGTAAAGTATAGTACGGTGTAGTATGCGGAGTAGAAAGGGGTACAGCTCCGTTTCGGGCTCTCGCCGTGCGGTGGCGTTGGCGCATCCGCCGCGACGACTCATTCCCGTAATGGCCGCCGTCTGCTGGCGTTGTCAGTGAGTGTGCGGGTGCCCGTCGCGAGTAGCTGCGTTGCGTCGGGAAGCTGCTACTGTGTCGTCGGTGAGTCTCGCGACTCAGATCACACGCGAAAGAGTAAATCGCAGTGGTGAGACGTGAACGATACGTTTTTGACGCGTCGCGTCGCGAGTTATTTCCCTTCGCACCGGCGACGATTTAAAAACGAACGACTGCATATTAATTTCGTACACACAGTGTTGTTCTTTACCCCACCATCCTCTTCCGCCACGTCTCTTCTCCTCCTCCTCCTCCTCCTGTCTGCTCCTGTCCTCTGTTTACCCGGGGCGCGCGGGGTCAGCGCCCCGTCCGAAAATCCGCGACGGCGCTGTTCCGGTTTGGCTACCTGATCGTCCCGCGTCTGTTCGCCGAGACGCGCCGATGCACGCAACGGCGTCGGATGGGCTCTCTCTCTCTCTCTGTCTCTCTTTCTTCTTCCTTCTCTCTCTTTCGCCGTCGAGAGATGGTAAACACATCGAGTGACAGCATGTGCGAGTGAGAGGAAACGTTTCGACTCGTCTGGTCGAAGTCGGAATCGGAATCTGCGAGGGAAGGAGTGTCCGGTAGGACCGCGGCGAGCAGGCCCCGAATTCTTCCTCACGTGGTTCAAGGCCGTCTAAAAGCGTCCGGACGTCACGAGTGCTTATTTGCTTGTTGCGTGCGTGCGACGTGAGGCGACGCGAGACGACGCTTTCCACGCGAGGCGACGCCGCGTGAGAGAGCTGTCAGCGTCGCCGAGATATATCTCCGAAATATTTCTCCGGTTCTTCCATCCCGGAGCAAACGAAATTCTGGGACTCGAACAGTCTCCTCGAGCAACGACGACGACCCGATGCACCGTAAGTATTCTGTTTGGTCTTTTCAATTCTGTAAAGATCGTTTCTATCAATGTATTCTCTAAGTTCTTTGAAATGGAATCTTATTCTAATGTCTGTTTCTATCAATAGAAAACTTTGATCTCAGCATTGAACTTATTCTTCATTTTTTTCTAATTCTTAAAATTAGAAAAAGATGAGAGTTAATGAACCAAGATTAAAGTTAATCTTACATTGATGGAATTGGGCCTAAAGAAAATTGAGTCAGTTTTGAAAAAAAATGGCTCAATTTTCAAAAGTGAGATTTCACTTTTCAGTGATATTCATTTAAAAAGTAGTCTTTTAGAGCATAGATTAACTTTAATCTCTTCAACTTAATCTCTTTAACTTTAATCTCTTATTCTTTATCTTTATCTAATTCTTAGAATTAGAAAAAGATGAAGAATAACGGAGATTAAAATAATTTATATTAATAAAAATGAGCATAAAATCTATGTCACACAATGCATTGAAAATTAAGGATTACGAATTGGACATTAGAATTCAACCATTTACATTTAATGAATTAAAATTTCACTTACCTGACTGAAAAAGATAAAATTTAATCTCTAATTCTCTAATCTTTTTAATCTTTTATGTATATTGTATGTGACAAGGGGCTTTAAATCTGTCGCTGCATTAAAGAATAAGAATTGCGCGCGAATGGAAAATTAGAATCAGCCAATCAGAACGAAAAAGATTAAAATTGAAATTATCTGATTGGTTTCGAATTCTACACTGAGAAAAATGTCTGGTTGGAGTAATTGGAATTTTAATTGAAATTAGACGAATCAGAACTTTCTGATCCTACTAATCTAATTGTGATAACTGGAATTCTGATCAGTTTTCAATTCGTCCATCTTCAACCAGATATTTTTCTCAGTTTAATCTGTAATTCACAATCCTCAGTCTTCAATATGTAATATGACACCAGGCTTAACGCCATGTGATTTGGAAATTACATATTGATTTATATTTTTCAAGTATTTTTTTCAATGATTCGATCGTTATTTTTCACCGATTGTAATTACTTTTTTTCTTTTAAGCAAAAAAAATCGGTAAAGAATTTATACCGATTTCTATCAATGTAAATTAATTTTAATGTTGATTAATTTACTTTTTTTTTAATCATTAGAAAAGGATTTGTTGAACCGAGAATAAATTGTATTGTTGAATCGAGAATAAAATTTCTACATATAGAAATTACATATGGACATAAGTCTTATGTAGATGAACTTTAATCTGGGTTTAATTTACTTTTTACTTTTTTCTAGTTCTTAAGAATTAGAGAAGGACAAACAGTGAATTAGACCGAGATTAAAGTTAATCTACATTGGTAGAAATGGACATTAGGTCTGCGACAGCGATGCCGTCTTTCGTTATAATCTGTTTTCCCTTTGGATCTGTGTTCCCTTTTGACATATCATTGAAAACGGTGTATATTCCTCGGTTTAATCTTCTCGTGACGGTGGAAACGTTATTGACGTATCTCTGGACGTTTCCGCTGATTTCTTCATTCGTCGCAACTTTCCAACTTTCTACATCACTCGTTAATATCGTCTTAACTGTGCCTCGGGTTAAAATGATATTTTAGATTTCGTTTCAAGTTAATTGAAGAATATGATTTCATTATCATTCATTACTCTTTAAAGCTCACCTCACGATAAACATTTTCCATCGTAGATTTGTACAGGAATAATAAAATGATTCATCATTTTTATCGAAAAATGTTTGATCTCTTCCTGGTATATAATGACGAAATTTAATTCTATTATTTCAATGTATCAATATTTTACAGTATCATATTATAATGATAATTTTCGGTCTCTACGTAGAAAAACGTATAAGAAAATGTATAGAAATAAATTCCTAAGTAGTTGTGAAAATGCCTAAAAGTTGTATCCTTCTTTATCATACGACAATATTGAATACATAATACATACATAATATAATATCAGTCTTAGAATATTACAAAATACTTAATACTGAGATTAATACCGATGTTACATAGTTATTTATAATACATTATACGATGTCACGCGATAAAATGAAACCTGCCTAATAACAAACACTGTAAAAAATAAAGTGTTAATTTTAACTTAAAGATGTATAGTGGATTTTCTGAAACATCAAAAAATGTAAAAATTAACATTTTTATGTTAATCTTAACATTTTAACATACTTGGGAAGTTCTTCACTATACGTTTTTAAGTTAAAATTAATATTTTATTTTTTACAATATAGTATGAAGTAATGACGAAGATAAAGAAACGACAAGGATGATTAACAGTCATTTTCAATAATAATCAACAATTTGTGTCTGCGAGCATACATGGTTTCTAACGAAAACTTGTCACGATTTTGCAGTGATGTTAATTGAAAAATCATCGCAAATATCCATAAAGTCATTATTTTTGTTACTTCTTAAAGCTGTCGTTAAATCATGAGAATTGTTTATAGCGACATCGTTTTGCAAATTTCTCCCTCTTTGTTGTGTTCTAAAATAGACCAATGCTTTTTAGCTGAAGTTCTCGTACGATTCATCTTTCTCCTCTCTCTTCAGGAGAAGAAAAAAAAGAGAAAAGATGAACGATGCAAAAAAAGTTCAAGTAAAAAGAACAAACAGATCTAATAGTTACACCTATTTGTTCGGCGAATGTTGGGCTGAGTCGATACGAGTGCGGGTGTCACGTGGATGGACGTCAAGTAGATATGTATATAAGTACTCCGTACTTATATACATATCTACTTGACTGTGTCGTAATCATACAAGTAATTATGCGGTAAAAACACGTCACGTAAGTGTAGCTCAGTCTTATCAAACACTTGACTGTCGGACGAACACATTGTGCTATGTCGATTTTAGCTTTTTTTTTATGAAAATTTCATGATTTCGTACTTATCATAAGTAATAAACGCGACATGTGACAACACGCGAGATTCTCACAAGTCATTATACTCTATAAAAAACGTAAATAAACAAAATTATTTGTTCTTTAGATAACTTTAAATCTTTACAAAATCCTGATATTTTTTATTATTGAACAATAATATGATGTAAGTACTGATTATGTAATTTTCTTTCTAAGGCGAAAATATGAAAAGTAAACAATTTCTCTATTAACGGTAAAAATTTTCACTTTCATGTTTCTGTCTTAGAGAAAAAGCTACATTATTGCCATTATGGTTTACCGTAATTACTAACAATACGTTTAATTTTAAAGTTGTAAAAGGAAATTTTAAATCTTCTTTTAAAACTTTAAGATTAAACTTATTTTAAATTAATACAGTATTTAATTAGTTTCAATAAAGAAGGAATTATCTCAATTATCGATGAAATTTATCTATTAAATATATTATTATCGAATAATATTTAAAAAGTTTAATTATTTTGATTTTTATTATTTTAAAAAATTTAATTATTTTTAAATTTCGATTTTTAAAATTATCTAAATTATTGAAAACTACAAGTAATTTCAAATAATAGTTTCTAGTATAATCACTTTGGTACAAATAGGAATTGTCCTTGAGTATCACTGACGCGTTTTTGCAAAAACAATGATAGTGTCACCGACGTAAGCGCAAAAAGAAAATTTCTACTAAGTACTGTGATTTAAGAAACTTGGTAGCTGAACGATTTTAAGATCGTTGAGAATGACAAAAGAATATTTCCGCTGATATATCTTTGTCGAAATGTCTCTTTATTTGACTTGCCTTTATAATCCCAAGATTTCCGATTTGTTAGAAATCTGTGGAACTCTTGCGTGTGATTTAATAATAAATGTATGAATCTAATATATATATTTTTTTAATTAAAAACGGCTTTGACACAAAAACATTTATTTCTCTTCGAGAAATTGACATATTCTGCTCGTTATCGCTGTAAACGCTACGATGTGCTTAATAATAAATGAAAAACAGTCTATTATAACCAGCTTACACAGCTTCTCCCGTTACTCACGATTTCTCCAGCATCTGAGATATATCCGCGAAAATATAGAGAAAATATCCCGATGTCAATCTACGACGGCAATCTACGCGATGTTCGTTACGTGTGAAAATTTGATTATCGAGGGGAAAATCGATTTCAGTTACTTGTGATTTATGGCTTCGAGACGCGTGCTGCGTCATGATGCCTTCAAATTGCGGAAACCACTCGTTACCACTTCGGAGATCGGACTGTACATCTCGTCCCAGTAATTTTTTGTCATTAAATAAAATGATTAAATAAAATATTCTAGATTTTAGACCATACAAGTTTCAAAAAGTTATATTACGTGTAAAGATAGTTGCCTTACACAGTTTTTCTAATATTATTAAATGAGAACCAAAATGTTTTTTTTTTATATTTTAGTACTTTTATGATTTAATTTTATTTAATTAGATGTATTTGGTAACTAAAGGAAAGGAAAAATTGTATGATTAAATAAAATAAAATGGAATATCTTCGATGTATCACACTACGCATAGAGTCTTTAGATCGGACGATTTCTCTAATATTATAATGGTTATAGTTTAAACGTTTTCTATTTTTTATATTTTAGTATACTGTTATAATTTGGTTTTATTTAATTTAATTAGGCATATTAAAGTCGCGTAACTGCGATCGTTAATTTAACTATTTTAGAGATTAAACTAATATTTTCACACAAGAAGTTACAGGTGATGAATTATTTGTGTGTATTGCAAACAAGATCTAATTTTACGTATTATATTTATTTCTAATGTATGCCGAAAACAGATTGGAAATATACAAGAAGTTACAGGTTATTATTGCATGTGAATGATCATACATAATTATAAAACCATTATTTAAATTAATTTTTCTATAATGATTAAAAAAATTTTTAAGATTTTACTTTGTTTACATTTTAATGCATTCGGAAGCACTTTTTTCCGAGGTTTTTTATCATATTTTCAGTGGCTTTGTTAATACTTGTTTACATGAATTATTGTCCTTTCAGTTTCAGGACTTTTTGAAAATCCAGAAAAGAAACAATTCTATGTTAAACATTTCAAACAACAAAAATATTTAAAGAATAGCCTTTTAAAAATGTTTATGTATTTTTAAAATATTTTTAAAAAATATTAGGTCTGGGACAAAGTTTCTTCGTATTTTTACAAATTTTTTTGCAAAAATTTTGTTGCAAAATTTTCGTTACAACTATATGATTCGTTAGAGCAAAGTTTCACCTTAATAATCTGTTTTTTAAATTGGGATATGATGATTTTTATCGGAATTATGAGCAATTAAAGTTAGAATGCTCCTTTACTTAATTCGCGAATAACTCAGTAACAAAAAATCATAAGAACATTAAAAAAAAAAGATTTTGTAGGGATAGCTTCAAGCTTTTCAGCTCGTAGTTTTTTAAATGTAAAAATTATCGAACTCACAGAAACTTAAAAAATATAGTGATCTTTTGAAAGTAGAAATTTTAAGCTTTAAAATTTTTTTTTAATTTAAATTGCGTTCATTTTTGACGAAGATATTGTATATACAATACAATTTTGAATTAAAAAATACGAAGAAACTTTTTTCTCGACCCAATTTTTTATTAGTATTAAACTTATATACAGAAAAATATATATTGTGCACAAATAATAATTACTTATTTCAAATATTTTAAAAGTTTTTACCACAAATCTATTATAAGTTCATCACAAGCATCTTTATTCAAAATACATTCTGACAATTTCAGTAAGTTTGATACTTCAATCAAAATTATTAAATAAAACTATGTTCAGTTTGCTTATTACATAAAGTCGCTTTTTCGATCAATTTTATATTCTTTAAGAGAAAATAAATTCTTGTTTTGAATACGTATTAATGAGTTTTTCTAAAATTTACAATAAGTAGATATTTTAATATTACAATTAAAAAAATATTTTTTGTCTCGTAAAAATAATCACTGATAAAAACAATACTTACTTAAAAGAAAGAAAGTAAATTGAATAATAACTTTTCTTAGCAATAAGATGATATTTTTCTGTGTGTATTGGACTGTTCTAAAAGACACCTTACAATACCAATGATTTCTATATCTTAAAATTTGAAGACGTTATCTACAAAATAATGTCTTTAAATTTTAAAACAAAACAAAGGAAAAACAGTTTTGAAGCATCTAAAAATTTAAATGCAGGATCTGAAAATAATTTTGTTGGACTCTCAAAATAATTTTGTAGAACACAAACTGATTGCTAGAATGTCAAAACTTTTTGCAGTATTGCTTATCATGCTTGAAATTCCTACGTAATTTGATGATCCAACAAAATTATTTTTAGACTTGTATCTTTACATATAAGTATTAAGTATCTAAAAATAGATCTAGATCTGAAAATAAATTTTATTAAAATAATCAGGACGCTCAAACTAATTGTTAAAATGTTAAAATTTGTTGCAACATTATTATCAATGCTTACATTCTACATAATTATTTTAATGATCCAACAAAATTATTTTCAGATAGCTACATTTTTAAATACTTCAGCAAAACTATCCTTTCCGATCAGATAGATCAGAAAACTCTTTCTTTAGACATTTAGGAATGTGTATACTCAAACAACGCGTATATATTTATCTTTTTCATTACGTCAATGTTCCTTGAAATTTTCAACACTAAACCGATCACCTGTCGGTGCAATTTTATTTTAGGAAGATCTGAGTCAGCCCACGAGGAGTCGTCCGCTGGCGATGAAGGGAGAACCGTGCCACCTACGTTTCGTTTCGAATCTGTGACGTATCCTGGTCCGCCCTGCGAGGGATAACGTCTGTTTGTGACCCATCGACTGTGATTTCAACGCGTGACGCCACTGCCAAAAAGGAAACAAACTAGTGTCGATCGCGAAACCTGCGTCTTCGTCTCCGCTTCCTTCGTCTTCGAATGTATTCGTCAAAAACGAGTGTCTTCCAACGTTGTATCAGAAACGCACGAGACGATTTTCCGTCGTCCTGCTCCGAGATACCTATGTCTTCCTACGAGTTCCAGTTGCCCTTGATCGGCGAAGCAACAGAATCCTTGACTTCCTTAAATTTTTCTTAAAGCACTCTCAAACACACGAAAAAAGAAAGGAGGATCGATTTCTTTGCCAAATAAGGCATTACGATATCGTGTGCTCTGAGAATGTTGCTTGACCAAGTCGCGAACGCGATTCCTTGATTATATCACTTAATCTGTACCGTATTCGAACGCAAAGCACATTGCAAAAACGGAGGTGCCTTGCCGTCGTTATCATCATCTAAACACATTCGAATCGTGACATCATCACTGCGTTTATTCGCAGTTTAAGCAGCCACCTGTTCGAATTAGCATCTTTACAAAACTATTCTTTGTTCGTCGCGGGATACGGCAGGACGACACCGTGACGACTGTCGAGAGGTGCATCATCGAGTCGGCTGCGTGTGATGCGACGCACGCAGGGCTGTTGCTACTGTCGTCTCGCGTCATCTTGCGCGACCGCCTGGTGGCAATAACAGCGAAGATGTTCGGGAAAGTGCCGCCGTCAAACACGCCGGATCCGCCTAATAATAACGGCGGGCAAAAGGCAGCCAAGTCGGTCGGAGACACCGACAGTGAACGCCGACGACAAGATGAGACCTTGGCGACCGACGAAGGACAACGCCGACGATTCGTCTACCGTCGTCTCCGAGGCTCCCAGCAACTCTCTGCAATCGCCTGCCAACTTATTGGACACCACATCCGTCGCGATGGAATCCCCTAAACCTTGCAGGACAGACGAAATAACAACGATCTGTGCAACTGTTTGTTCCAAGACCACGACCAAGTGTTCACCAAAAGAAGGTTTGTCGCAAGTTGGCAGGAATCACGCCAACGCAATGCAGAAGAGTCCCTCCGGTCAAAACTGCTCGAATTACTCGAAGACCGGCGTCGGCAGATCACGACGACCGCAGTCTACCTCAACTGCGAGAAACCTTAACGTCGAGTTGTGTGCGAGAGACTATACAAAAACTGTGAAGAAGATTATTACCGTTAATCGAGAGCCTCCGAGCGACAAAGAGCATCAGACGATATGTAACGAGCAGCAGTCCAAGTGCTTGCAGGGATACACCCCCTCAGGTACGGTTGCTGCCAAATTATCTTCCGCGAGATCTTCCGAAATGATTTATACGTCGCTGTCGGGCGGAAAGAGATCCGATAACGAGGACCTCTTGACGGACACGTGCGCGAATTATTTTACGTCGAATGGCGCATCTAATGTGCCAGTTGTGAGCGATCACTTGCACGCGCATCAGAAGTCAGCGGTTTCAAAGGTGGTTGACGTCAAGGATGGCGTCGGTGATTCCGCGATCACCACTACGCCTTGCGAGGATGACAGCTGCGAAAATGATTTCACCACTTCAACGCTGTCCAAAGATTGGACAGCGAGAAGGATTAATAGCGACACGTTGCAGCAGAATTGCGCGTCCTGCCTACCACAGGATTTGCCCACGGAACTGCAATTGTCCAGCTCGCCGAGGAGCTACAAGGAGTTTAAGGAGAAGTGCCGCGATTCTCCTTGGCGGCCCACGGAGATGACGGAGAGTGGTGCGGTGCACGGATTGACGATTTGCTCAGGCGAGACGTTTCAGGACTCGAGTTCGAAGAGACGCACTGGGGCGTCTTGTCAGGCACTCAGGCATGCCGTTGCTTCATTGAATCGCCTGGACGACTTCTACATGGAGAAGATCGGTGCGGGCTTTTTCTCGGAGGTTTACAAGGTAAGATGATATTTGATGGAAAGAGGAATTATTATTATTATAATATATACCGCATGAAAAAATAATTAATAATCGATTTTACGTAAAAGAAATATCAATCTTATACTGAAAAAGAAATTTTAAATAAAATCATCTATTAAAAGTTAACTGTATTGATAATGGAAGTTTATTTGGGATATGTTAATGCTAGAAATTAATATCAATAGATAATGAAGAGGATAGTATTTTTGGAATAGATCCTTAATAAGATATTGTTCCCTCCTCTTTGCAATTCTGTGCAAATAAGCACAGAACATAAAACATATTAGGTATATATCCTAAATTAAATAATTACGCCATGTAACTTTTAAATGCCATACTATGAGGAAAATCGAGTTATAATATATTTAGTCTAATTTGATAATTTTTATAAAAATAAACATGTAAAAAATTATTTTTCAATCAAAACGCCAGACATCAAGAAACATATCAGTATCAAACAAATGTATGTATTTTTCATTAAAAAAACTGTCATTTAGCGGTTTCGTGTCAATGTCAGAGGATTTTTCATTTATATATGACCTCAAGAGGATACTCTACAAAGTAAAAGAATTTCGTATAACCATAAAGTGCTAAAATAAAGATTTAGACAATCCTCTCAATGCTAGAAGAATATCTTGCATGCACGCGTATTACGATAGTACATAAATGACAAACTTCTTCTAACAAATAAACGTGCCGCTAGTATTTTATATATCCTCTTATTTCAAAAGGCTATTCGAGTTATTATAATAGAATTTTTTATAGAGGAATTTATTTTTGATCATAGCTCATGTGTCCTCATTTTTATAGATGAATACTTCTTATAAGTACACGCGCCTGATTCATGAAAGATTTTTGGCTTACAATTAGAAGAAATGCTAAGAGGAATTCTCCACTTATCGGCAGAATATTTTTTTTGGGGTGTTATTTAAAAGAATTATATGCATTGGAAAACGCATGGGAAAAAGAAATCTGATATGTCATACCGAAAAGATGTTTGAAGGATTAAAATTAAATAATTAATGTAATATTTTTTGCTTTACTGAACGATAGAATGAAAATCTGGACGTTCACCTATCGAGGACACTATCCGATTTCAAGATACATATTTGATCGCGTTAGAGGAGGCTCGTTAGAAAGTTTTTCTCTCGTATGGCAATCTGCTTCTTCTTAATTCTCGCCATTGTTCATGAACAACAATCGCGAATTCGAAACGGACGCTCGCCTATCTGGCTGTATGGAATGTGCTCTATCTTTGTAAATTAATATCTCGATGGAGATTAGATATGGCTACCTGGCACGAACGCGTAGCCTCGTGAAATTAATTCCACTCGTAATCACGCGGTTACTTATCGACAACGAGTGATTGGAAGATGTATTTTTTGTCCCGATTTTCCGGAAACGCATTAAATCTTTACTCTGTGTAGATCTTGTCAAAAAATCTTTTTCCTCAGTCTTCAAATCATTAGATTCTATCAATTACTGCGCGAAACGAAAGAAACTGCGGAGGTGGTATTTTTCATTCGCAATTCAGTGATTCTGAGTCATGTGAGTGATATATAACTCCAACACGATAAAGATAACATTTATCGCATAAATAGCGAAAGGAGAAAATACAAGCAAATATTTTACGTAAAATCTCAAGTAAATAAAAGATAAATAGACGAAACAATCCATTTTTTACCTGTTTTCACATCACGAATTTTTACGTTAGCTGCTGTTACAAAAAGTTACAGGAAGAAACCTGGAAACCACGGTGGAATTTTTCATTGGCAAGGAAATAGTTCTACGTTCTAAGTTTAAGCGATGACATCTTTTGATAAATGAAAATATTTCAAGCGAAGCGGACTATTTGGACGATGCACAGCACTTGCTGTACTTTTCTATAAAATTTCATGGTCACACATAATTTACATATGTGACATTTATAATACGTTTACAAATGCAGAAGCGATGTAGCGACTTCAGAATAGTGTCACGGTAGCTTACGTAAACCATTGTCTTTATTTGCCAGGAGTATAATTATCGTAGGGTCTCATCCTTGATTTCATTTTTCTCGACTGATATTAGGACTTCGTAAAAATTATCCGCTTTATAGATAAACATATAGATATTATTTATCAATTGCTTGAATATCTATTCTAGAAATTATAGAAATAAGAAAAGCTGTTGAAAATGTTTAATACAAAAATATTTTTGTCAATTTTATTCTTAACACTAGAATTTAACCAAATCAAAGATAACTGTTTTGTAATTTGACTGATTTGTATTTTTAAAATATTATCCAAATAACAGTACATTTTTTTTGAGATTGTCTATAATTCTTATTTAAATTCTAAAATCTAGTTCATCTAAGCTTTCATTACTTATGTTAGTTGTGTATTCACATATCACAGTCTTATAACACTTTATCTACATATAATCTTTATTGTTTAAATTAGTTAATCTATTTTGTCCTTATATTCCGTTTTTAAAGATGTATTTTCTAAACATATTTTTTTAACAAAATGAAGATATGAAAAAAAATTACAATTTTTTCTATATTTATTTGAAAATGATACAAAAAAAGTTCGATTGTGATTTAGGACCTAAATAAATAGGAAATAAAAAATTTTTTAATAAGTAGATATATTTGTTCTTCTTTAAAAATAATTGAGATAAAATGAGAAAATTTTCATTTCAACTAGAAATTGTATTGTTAAATATTTTAAATATTAATCTTATTGAACTGCTTCATATGAATATTTATTTTTATGCGGAAAGTATAAAATTTCCAGTTCCATTCACTTTTTACAGAAATTATACATATATCTGATTTATCTTTATGTGTATATATATTAAAAAACGCTACGAATTAATTCCAACACCTAATATATTCAAATAGTAGAAATTAATCGGTAGTTCTAAGTGTTAAATGAAAGTTATGAAAGTTACATGAAAAAGTTACATTCTCAAACTAATCCTTGAACATAGCAAAACGTATATAAATATGGAAGTAACAGATGTGCAACTAGAGATTGTAGCAATTAGAATTTGCAAGCAGGAAGCCTCGTAAACATGAAATGGACGTAAATAAATTATATCGCTTTATCTATCACGCTATTATCGTAACGGTGAATCGACGAGAAATGAGCATGTTGATTCGAGATAGAGTCATGTAGCAATTTTGCGGAAATCGATCGATTCGCTGTTAAGCTTGCGACACCGCATTCTGTGTCCTGCGGAGAGATTTATACACACGTCTCTTCTTCTTTCTATCGATCTAACTTCTCCGCGTGCAAGTGGTAAAAGTGGCCGGAAAGCTGCCCCAGTTCCAGTCAGCGATATTCATTTCATGCAGTCCGTAATTTTGCGCATTTGCCGGCCCGCGTTCGTGGCAGATGCGTCCGTCGAGGTGACGGCTGCACTGGACTACCTATCTACCTACCTACCTACCTACCTACCTACCTACTATAAGTCAGCCGAGCGATCCGGGACCTTGAGAAGTATGCCGTGGCTTCTCCGGCGTGGATAGGCGCGTTATAAATAGGTCAACAGGAAATTGAGCACGCTCCGTAGTGACTGCGGTGATTCCTCCGACGCAGCGGTGCGCAAATCTCGGACTTCGCGCGATTACGTAGCCTTTCGGACTCTTTCCGACACATATGCCCGTTTCTACCACCAATGTAGATTAAATTTAATCACAGTTTAATTTATTCTTTATCGTATCATTTTCATTTTTAGAATTGGAAAAAGATGAAGAGTTAGTTGAACCGAGATTGAAATTAAAGTACATTGATAGAAACGGGCAAAAAGTGGCTTTCAGGAAATCGTATTTTTTTGCTTTATTTTTATCACTGGTTCTTCTGTATTCCTACGTTTTACATATCCGTGCCGAAAGTCGGGTTAAATTCATTTTAATAATTAACTGATTGTATCTCACTTTCACGAGCTTCAATTTTTATGCTCCGCGGAATAATTTCAACCACGCTCTTTCTCTCATCTTTCCACCGTTGCTCTCTCGGCAAGGATAATATTTTTCTGTTCCGCCAGATGTTGAATAGCGCACCTCTGCTTGAGCGCATTAGCGAGACCCTCGTTTAAAAATAAACTCGTGCTTCTCGATGTTATCGTGGAAGAATCGATCCTGTCGTTTGTGCCGTAGGTCAAATTCTACCTGCAATCTCCTTTCAAATATGATTAATATTATTAATCGGAAAGATGATGAATGATTCGGTGAGTCAAAGACTGACATATTTGATATAATTGCTGTTGATTTATTTTATCTGTTATCAAATGTACATAAGATATTGGTCGGCGTAATAATTTCAAAGTATACATATAATGTTTAATAAGAATGTTATATTGTAAATTAGAATTTTTTATATCAGTAAATAATCAACTTATGAAACATTATGAATTAAAAAAAGCCTAATGATTAATTTTATAGTGAAAAAAAGTACAAAGAAACTACAGTAATTAAATTTGAGTAAATATTAGAAATTTCATGCATTTTTTGAGCAGTTGCTAAACAGTTATAATTTCTATCTAGTAACTGAGAAGGAAAACTATTTAGGATCCCAATCAGGATGTAACTTTGTTTGCAGTTACTGCATACAAAAGTTGCGTAAAATCTGATTCCATATACTGAATACTGAGAAACACAACAAATAATGGATATTAACTTGATTAATAAGTAAGCCAACTGCTCATGAAATAGACAGAATAAAACTCTATCCTAAGAATAAGTTCTTGTCCATTTTCTATTCAATATACACAACTAATGAGAATACAATAATATTAGATAGTAACTGAATAGGTGTCTAGGAAAACTGCATATATTTCTATCAGAATTGTAAGAATTATAAGAAACTGCAATAATTATATTTAATACTTAATAAATTGGTTTTTCAAAATAGAGAGAAGAGACTGTATATTAATTTCATATATTTTTTGTTACAAATGTATTGTTGAGATTCATTTTATTTAATGGGAAATTT